TCTTAGGAAATTAACTTGTCTTGCATACAAAGATAATAACATGGTGACTAAAATGGTTAGTCTTCGGAAAACTAGAAGGAATCTTTACAATATTTTTTATTATGATGTAGATAAAAGCTGGCTGACTTGAGATGAGCTGCCTCTTAGATGGCTTTCCTGAAGAAAAATGGTGAGCAGCCAATCTTGTGCAAGGACTTACAGCTTTCCAAAAAAAACCCAAACTGTTAAGTACTCACCAAATTAAAAAATAAAAAATCAGCCTTGATTTGTTATGTCTTCATTGAAAAAAGAAACTGCAGGAAACCTCTGATGTTGGGTCTGATGCAACCCAATAGAAGCGGATTATAAGAGTTGGTGCTGAGGACCAGTATCAAGGTCTGGAAAAATATCAAGGGTTTATCTTGAAATTATATAAATAATTACTACTTCATCTTAGGATTTACAGATTTATTTTTTTTTTATAAAAATATGTTTGTTTTCAACCTTACTGTTCTTTTAAGTGCCACGTTTTTTAAACAACCAGCTGGGACCGCTCCATTTAAAAACAATGTCACCCTGCCACTTGTTACAGATTATATTGTTCAGAGATACTGTGAAACACTTATTTCTCTGCTTGTGCTCATATTACATCAATAGGTGTAGATTTGACAGATGTCTTAAGGTATACTAAATTCTTGTTCATATTTACAGATGACCATAAATAGTTAAGAGTAATACAGTATTCTACAGGGTAGTTTAAACATCTTTCCTGGACCATGTGAACTATAATGTACATGGTATTTTATTTTTCCATCTCTATTTTCCTTTTCAGTCTGTTTTTGTGTCTTTGTAGGAGCCATAGAACTATCATAGGATCACAGACTGCTTTGGGTTGGAAGAGACCTTAAAGCTCATCCAGTTCCAATCCACTGCCGTGAGCAGGGACACCCTCCACTACCAGGTTGCTCCAGGCCCTGTCCAACCTGGCCTTAACACTGCCAGGGATGGGGCAACCACAGCTTCTCTGGGCAACCTGTGCTAGGGCCTCACCACCCTCACAGGGAAGAACTTCATCCTAATATCCAACCTAAATCTCCACTCTGTCAGCTTAAAGCCATTTTCCCGTGTCCTGTCACTGCAGGCTCTTGTCAAAAGACCCTCTCCAGATTTCTTGTAGGCCCCCTTTACATACTGGAAGACTATTACAAGGTCTCCCATGAGCCTTCTCTTCTCCAGGCTGAACAAGCCTGATCAAAATAATTCCTCATGCATACACCTTAGGAGATCCACAAGGAAAGGGTAATCTTCATGAAATGTGTCATGATAATGTAAATTTGTAGTTTGAAGCTGTAAACTTTCTTTTAAGAGTCTTGCTATTTTCATGTAGCCTTTCCGGTGTTTTCACATAAGAATATTTAATAGTCACATTTTTTATTCTCTCTCTCCAGCAGGAAAATAATTTGAAGTGATTGTTAGGATTAACAAATGTCAAATGTGTACAAGAATCCACTGTGTTTGAGTGTTTGAGGCACTTGGCAAGGACAAATACAATATTTTACCATATCAGAATACTCCACAACAAAACTGTGAGAATCTGATATAATCTGAGAAAAATAACATCCAAGGCCATCAATGAAAAGTAAGAATTGTAACACAGAATCACACTGACAGATTCCGAAATAAAAAAGAAAATGCAGCTTTTAATTGCTGGCTATAAAAGCTATGCTTCATTTTGGAGCATAGTAAAAATAAAGTTACCAAATCATTGATATCAAAACGTTGGGGGAAAGTATTTTTACTTAAGATAAAAAGTTAAGACAATATTGAAATGTTGTTTGTATGGAGGAGAAAACCAACTTTTCAAAATAGAAAAAAAAAAACAACCTGAAACTTACTTAAAACTAATAAACCAATTATATAGTGTTAATTTGTAAAATCGTTAATAGAAAATATTGTGCTTTCTACTATTGTTTTGAAATGAGCATCATTTCTGCACCCTACACTTGAGAATATTCATAGGGTACCATCCACTAACATTACCAATCATTTCAGGTTTACAGTTGAGTAATCACTTCTTTTTTTAGGGACTGATACATTGCAAGATCAAGGTCTGCAGAGAGATGAACACCACAAATGTTCCAGCTGACCTCACTTCCCAAAATGCATCATTCCAACAAATAAATATCATTAAACATAAGCAGGCAGTCAAATTACAGAATTAAAACATAATCCTGCATTACTCAAGTGAGTAGCTGCTTATTAATAGGTCCACTGACTCCAGGAACACTATTTACTTGAATAAAGATTCCTAGGGTTGTGCTTTTGGGACACATTCCAAAGCCTTTTAAAGTAAATAATCTGATTAGTTAACTCCTAGTTTGGGCTGATGATTTATCATGGCAAAGAGAAGTTTTATCTTGATGACAAATCCATCACTGCCCCACACAAACCCCAGCAGACAGGTGTGCAGCCTAGTTTAACTCTGGCAGGCAGTGAATTGCATCCAAGCTTATTTCAGAATTAAATGGAAGACCACCTCATTACCTGGGTCCTTCCAACTTCACAGTCAGAGCACTTGAGGACTGAGCCAGGGCTTTGCTATCAGCAGCTAGAGTCTGACCACATTAAAACCTAACCAAACCAAACAACCCTTTTGTTGCACTGATGAAAGGTCCTGCTACTAATCTTGTCTGTGGCACAAATCCTTCCTGAGAAGCAGTGTTACCCAAGTCAATTTGCACACGGCTTGCAAATGTTCACCTACAGCCTCCGTTAATAGCTTAATACATCAGGAACTCACCCATCTGTTTTCCTACTTTCTAAAAGTAGGTATCTTAAAGTCTTCCTTATTTCCCTCCCCATGAGACATCATTAATGAAATATCAGTTAAAAATATCTTCTAAAGATTGAAATTACCACATTAGAGACTCTCCTGCTAGAATGAACAACAGAACAAGCACGTTTTAATTACCTGGGTTATGAAACCAGATCAAACCATTATATGGAAAAAATCCAAAACATTTCTTTCTAAGTTCTAAGAACTTATTTTCCTATAAATGTGTTCATACTGAGATACAAATATTCTGAAGAAATTTCCCAAATGTTAAAAAACTAACTTGTGCTTATTTTGTCTTAGTTTTCTGTTCCAAACCACTAACAGCCCAAACCTGTTCCAAAGGAAAACCTGGTGTTCAGCAGCAGTTTAATGAATTGTTTTGACCCAGTGAAATACATCACGTCCACTCCTAGTAATGAAACACTTGGCAGAAGGTATCGCATCACAAGAACAATAGCTCCAGCCAGTCATTATGGTCCACCAAATACTGTAACCTCTAAGCAATCTCTCTTCAAACAACGGAGGGGAAGATAAGGTAACATTTCCACTTAGCTAACTGCATATGCAGTAGATGGTGGCCATGCATTAGCTTCTAAATTTTAAAGTTTATAAACATTTTAATCATAGGAAAAGGTTTATAAATATTTTCATTTGCCTTTTTTAAGCATACTGCTGTTATGAAGACTTAAAGCTCATGTTATTTTCTTAGATTACAAAGACTTTTGATTAAATAACAAATATTTTAGTGTAAAATACATAAAATATTGCCACAGCATCAGTTTTTGAAGACAGTGTGTCTACCCATGTAACATCTTAATTAGATCTGGGGTGAAGGCAGACAGGAAATGGGTTGTTTTTTCTGGCTTCATGGTCCTTTGATATAATTACCACTCTGTTATTGGAACAGAGAATACAACCCTACACATATATGATTTCATGTTTAAAAGAAGGTGACAAGCAGAAATTGAAAGGGAAATGGCAAATCTATGTATAAATAAAAACATGGTCATAGGCATCATGTCATGTTCAGCACTAAAATGAACAGTGATGAGATACAACAGGTGAGAAAATGAAGTGACAGAGACTGCAAAGCATCACACGTGATTGCTACACCAGGAAGTCTGAGCCTTGCTGGCTCACAATGAGATTTTACTGAATATGTACATGCTAAATTTTAACGTTATCTTCAGAGTTTTGCAAAAGCAGTGAAACAATCTTGCTGTAGATTCTCTTGGAGGAGACTACAAGTAATGGAAAAATCGCCATCAGGACACAGAGGCCCAAGGAAAGGCCCACAGTATCAGTCTCAGCTGCTATTTAAATGAGACAGAAGGTCTCAAGTAAATAGAGAATTGGAGATCCTTCTACAAAGATGTTGTTTGTGCCAACACTGTACTTGTGACTTAGAAAATGCAATTCCTACAGTTCTAATATGTGCACTGAACCTCAGGACCATTTTCAGTTTTTTTTCTTTTTAAACATAGACTGCATCTCTCAGAATAAGGTAATGAACTGGCATGTATTACCTAAATAGCGCATCCACCAGTGATTGATGTACTTCATGCATGTTGTGCCATATTTTAAAAAGGAAAAGGTGTACAGCTATTCTAGACAAATACAATTTAAGAAGTGTAAATTAATTTATCCTTTTCCTTCCTCAACAACCACCTTTGAGACTTACTTATTTTTCTATATGCATTTTATAAAATATTTTAAAAATAAAGAGCTGGCTACTCTCAGATTTCAATTAAAAATATGCTTTGTTACTCAGTTGAATTTATGATTCCATGTCATAAATTTTAAACACTAGAGTTCTTACTCTGGGTAATACCTCAAAATGTCCTAAAAGTGCATCCTAGAAGTGCAGATAGCTGAGGAAATATACCACCTATCACTCATGTTTCACAAAAACACCTAAAAGCAGCTCAAGATCATGGATAAAAGGGCAAGTGTTAGGGCACAGACTGAAATATCCCAAAATTAAGGCATGAAAAGAGCAGAAAAAAAAAGCAGTATTTACTACTGCTATAGGTGTGGACTTTTCAACAAATCTGTCTATAGAGTAAAAGCAATGCCATTTAATTCACTGGTTTAAGGTATTTCTTTTTGAGCCCTAAGTATTTAGTGTAGATGTGTGTGACCAGTTTTTATTCACTCGTTTCTCATTTATACTAAAGTGGAGATTACAAAACAAGGCAAGGACATGCACACGTATTGGGAAGCGGCACCCTAGACCATGGAAATGAAGTTATTACTTGGAGAGAAATCCTGACGGCTTTCCCATGCAACTGAGGTCCCAGGTGGACAGAAGGTCTGTGTTCAGCAGTCTCCATGGCAACAGCAGCCAGCATTGCACACAGGGTACCAGATCCTACACTACAACCAACATGCAGAAAAGCAGTCCTGGTATTAGCTTCACTTTCCTCCCTATACCTCATGCAGTTTCCTTTTATACCTAGATTTCTTCTTTGTATTTGTTAATCACACAATATGAACATTATCACCACCAGTGGTATTAGCTATTAATCATAATACATTCAGGAACAGGCCAGGAGGATCAGCATCATAAGGGCTGAGCCCTGATCTTCTACCATCTCACTGCAGAAAGGAAAGGAAGCTAATGGACAGTTACACACAACACAAGCAACACCAGATAAATGAATTCCTGGTGCAAACCCATTATGGTCAGGAAAATTATTTCTAGGATTAATATGGCTCCAGATGATTATTGATTACTGAAGAAAATCTGCACACTGAATATTTTATTTATCAAGTTCCTTATGCATACAGCTATTAAGATCAATGCTGGAATAATAGTAACAGTTAAGTTTTCATTCAAGTATCTACAGGTCTTTGTTATAACTACTACATAAAAGTCAATCAAAATCACATAATGCTTAAATTACTAACAGGAGTTAGTGGAAATACACAGAATATTGGTATTAATTTTGATAGACATAGAAACAGTAATATTAGCAGAGTAGCCCAAATTATGGGACAGAATTTCATGGTCAGGAGTCACCTAAAATAGAAACAAAAATGACGGCTTCTGAATTAAATATTACAGAGTTTGCTAGCTAAGTATCAGACAAGAGACAACAGATGGATTCTACAGAAAAAGGGGGTATACAAGGAAAGAGGAGACAATGTTGGCCAGCACTATAGGCAGAATCATAGCAGTCCACCAGCTGCCTGCCTGCCTGCCTCAGGAGCCCTTACTTCCCGAAGGAAAAAAGTTTGCCAGTGCCAGCATTATCCGTTATTGTTGGGCTGCCAATATTTTGCCTCTCATGAAAGACAAAAATGTGTATACCATGTGAAGACCAAGAATACGGTATCAGCCTCACTGGAATCTTCAAAAAGCACATCACCAACATGAGTGGGGTCAAAATCTTACTGAGGTATTTCCCCATTTCTCCAAGTACCAATTACATGTGTACCAACATACCCTCAAAAGCCAGTACTTGGAGACCAAAATCATACTGAGAAAAGTATAAAAAAAGCCACCAAAAGAAAACCCTGGATTGTTAGGGTGGTTGCATTCATCATTACATGCCACATAGGGAAATCAGCTTTTTGTACCCCAGAATGATGACAGCTATTTGCATGTGAAATTCAAAAGCAATATAAATATTTTTGGTTTAACACATGAAACGTAACTATCAGTCATCAAACATTCTTTACCATTTAAATGCATTTCTTTAGCAGACACAAATTCATGTATTATTCTAGAAGCTAATAACTGCTTCACAGCAGGGTGTGAGTAGCTCTTCACTTATTTTTTATTAAACAGTTGTATCTGTTACATGTGTAAAAGATTGCTTTAGCTGCTTACATGGGCTTTTAAGCCAGAAAAGCATTCCACTCAGCAGACGATACTGAAAAGCACAAGTTTAATTCAATAATTGCTTCTTTATCACATTTCAATTCCAAGCTCAAAATATTACTTTTAATTAAAACTATAACTAGGAAATTGCCTAGTTATCTAGTTCTTTAACAGTGGTGTTCTTAGTATAAGGCACTTTAAACTACTTTAACCACTGTCTGTAGCCTTTGCACTAAGCCATGAGCTGGTTAACTTGTGTCCCTTAATAGACTTGCTTTATATACAGAGGAAAACAGCAGCTCAGAGCTGTATTTCTGATCAGTGATGGAGTATCTTGATTGCAGCAACCTGGTCATTTCCCCTTTTCAATTCAATAAGTGTGTCTTTCACCAGAAGCATCAGAAATGTCTCCTGATCTAGCAGACACAATTCTGTCATTTCCAGCATCATTTGCATTTACATTATTTACAATGATTTTGCACTTGCTTTTGTACCTTATTACCCTCACTAAATGACTGTGGAATCAAACTTACTTCTTAAAACACCTTCAGTGATACTCTTGTCTGAATAATACTTTTTAGAGTATAATTTTTAAAGCTGGATGATTATTAGACAAACTGTAATGAACTTGTGAGGCTTCCAAAGTGATTTATTTTTAAGACCTCTTTCTATCCATTTAATTTAAATCTTAATTTGGAATTAGTTTATATGAGAAAGTGAAATCTATTTTTCACTCGAATCCTAAATGAATATTAGCTCAGAGAACTATTTTATCTGAGCTAGCTAGCATATATTTTACCATTAGAAGTAATCTGTGGCAGGGAATATATCTAATGTTGCTTTAAAAGGATTAATTTTAGTCCACAAAAAACTCACAGCTTCCTATTTCCACAAATCACAATGAGAAGTCTGCTTTGTTTTTTCTCCAGACAATTTTACATATTTTTGTCTCTCTATAGTTCTTCTCTGTATACTGGTCTTGCTTAGTTGATGCTCATGGGTTCCTAGCAATGAGGTAGTTAACACATCCCCTAAAATGTTTGCTTTGGCATCTGTAGAAAGATTCTTCTACCTAAGACACATCAAGACAGCCCTCAGAAATAATTGAGCTGAAGTATATTGGCAGAAAAACGTGATTTAAATGCAACAGTTTGATTACATTGCAACATGTTACCATTATTTATGACAGATATTTACAAAATTGCACTTTCGTGAATCCTGTCAACCTAGTTGAATCAGTCTTTTTCTAAACCAGGTTTAATCAGTATTTCCCAGAAAAGACTGCTAAATACTGCAAAACTTTCTGAACCTAATCTAGGTGCTAATCAAAATAAAACCTCTCTGAATATTTTATTCTATAAGACAACCTTACAAATATAATCCCATCCCTGGTATCAGGAATGTGCAGGTACTGCAAATTGTGTGGTTTGGTTTATGGTTTTGTTTAAAAACAAAAACAAAATTAAAAAAAAAAAAAGAAGCTGTTTCCTCATTCATTGAGAGTCACCCCCCTATTATTAAAGCTCTTGAAATGAGTTTGCCTCATGAGGCCAACTGGTACATCCCATCCCACAGCACAGAGTACTGACTGACAGTGCCTCAATACCAGTTTCTGACCAAGCAGTGGCTCAGGAAAACTGTAATTGCTGCCAATCTTGTACTCATCATGTTGCTTAATTATCTGAAATGGTTCTTGGCAGGCTGGGAATGACACCCACCAATGACGGGGGGGAGCTGCACCCCACCATCATCTAGAAGACTGTCAGAAAAGGAAGATACGCATGGCTCAGAGCTTAAGCTCATCTTTCTCCTCCTAGCATCAAGCTGGTGGGTATTAATTGTACCATTTTGCCAAAGACTTCTCAATGTTTTTCAAATTCTCCCCTTCAGTCATGGAATGGGAGGCATATGGTGACAGATTTTGCAGTCACCTGCAGAATTTCCTCTCACTGACACCATTTCAGTGCAGAGCTAAACCACCCACAGATGTGTTCACAGGAGTCGTGGTGCTGTCTTATGCCCAGCATGTCCAACAACACAGCAGGACTGAAAACCAGCCAAGGAAACAAAGAGAAACAATGGGAAAAGTGTGCTTTTTTGGTTTTATTTTTTTTAATTTCCTCAATCAGAAAAAGCTTTATAGCAAATTTACGTTCCAGTTAAGGAAACTCATAATGGATTGTAGTGGTCTGTCAGGAAGTACAAAGTCAGCTGTACTAACAGCAAAGTTTTGATTTTCTTTGAATGAGATTGAACTTTACAGTTAGCCAATGTTGTAGAAGTTTAACAATGTTAATCACATTTAATTTACTATTTTTTTAAATCCTATATCAAGAACATACTTCTCCTGGGCTGCATGATTATTTTTCCATTTCCAGAGCTGTCCTCCTGCACGCTCAAAAGGTGTGTCTACACACTCAAAAGGAGGTCCTCCACCTCCTTGTGTGCCATAATTCTGATCAATGCTGGGAACTGAGGTTTCTGAAGCACAGTTTCGTGCCTCCAGCACAGAGGCATGCCAGGGCACACGCTGTACTCCAAACCTGCCTGGCTGCTGAAATGGTTCCCAAGGGGGCTGTCAGACAGAAGTAAACTGGGATAGTTCTCATCTTTCACAGACACCAACCTGGCTCCTGCATCAGCTTAAGGAATGGGAAGGCTATGAAGGCACTATTTAATCATCTGCATTCCCCACTTGTCTCTTCCAACTAGCATTCTGGTCTCTCTCTTCTTATAGGTTTTAGAAACAACTACAATATTCAGTTGATTTTCTATTAAAAAGCCTTGTATTCTAAGAGTTAAATTTCTATTATAATTTGCTTTTGAAGATCATAGAATCACAGGCTGGTTTAGGTTGGAAGGGACCTTAAAGCTCATCTAGTTCCACCCCTCTGCCCTGGGCTGGGACACCTTTCACCAGACCAGATCATATTAGATGATCATCTGATCTGGTCAGATCAGCTGATCAATCATAGATGAAGATAAGTTTTCTAGGACATTCAAGGTGAAATAGAATTCCGGACATAATACTTCCTTCTAGAAGATGCAATACTTAGAGGACTACTGAAAAAGTATTTGCCATAAATTCTAACTAACAAATTGTTCTGCAGAAGGAGTACTAAAAAGAGGGACACTGTTCTTCAAGATTTTGTGCTCATGAAGCCTTGCCCTGACATGTACAAAAGCATTGTATAACCATATGAAATCCCAGCACTGATGAAACTCTGATTACCACCCACTGAAATGCCCAATTCCTCCCATGCCTTCTTGCATATCCCCAGTTGACTGAGCCATTTAGCTTTCTTCCTGAGGTGCCTGTCTTGTACTTTCTGTGCCTCTTGAGGGCCAGGGGGAAGAATTTTTATTCCTCATAAGAATTTTTATTTCTCCTCTGTCCTTTCCTTTCTTATTCCTAAAGAATGGCATATTCCAATAAAAAAGGTTTGAGAGTGTGAGATAAGAAACACTGATTAGTGAAACAACTTCAACACAAGCACTTTGAATTTTTCAAGTTTACACTATACGTTATCAAAAAAAGTCTAGAGTACAGCAAGTACCTGTTATTTTTTTACTGATGGTGCTACAAGAACTCATTTTACAGAAATAAAACCACAGTTTCACTGTGTTAATGAAAAAGGAGAAAAATATTAAAGGTTGGCCAGAAATATCAACAACATATGCTTTTTATGAAAAGCATACTGCAGGAACCATTTCCTCTCCATTAATAAGCATTTACTCATCCTTATTAGCAGATACAGATGGCCATTTGTCCTGTAGCTTAACATTGAAGGCCAAATTAAAAAGACTTAATACATCTTTTGCTGAACAAAACAGAAATTACCTTTACGAGAAGTTTATTCTTAAAAAGACACTTAAAAGAATGCCAAAACTGATTTGAATTTACTCCAGATGTTACTCTGCTTATTATTTGGATTGGTGTGAGTTAATTCAGTGGCACTTCATTTTGACACAAAAAAGGTATGATGCCAAACTGAAATCCGAGTAATAAACTTTGACAGAAAGGAGACATTAACAGGAGCAACCAATGAAAAATAAACTATAGATCTAAGCAATGGCTAATCAAACCTAAGAGGATTTACCTAATTAATCCTGTGTTGCACAGCTATCCAGATTGCTTTTCCATCCAATCCATATTGTAACTACTCATTACTTACTCTTAGCTTTCCAGAAACAAGTGGCATATCACATAACAAGCTAAACAGTATTACCTATTTCTGAACTGGTTTACTGCACTACTGTGTAAGCAGTTGGCTAACATGCTGCAAAAATAGTTCCAGAGCTCCAAACTGTTTGAAATTAGTTTCCTTTTTCAATCACAATCCAAATGGTAACAGTAAACGTCAATTATTTGGAGAGCATCATTTGCCTTGAGAAGGGAACCTCTTTTTAAAGGAAATAGTGGAAAAAAGGACTTTATGTCTGCATACTTCATGCTTGGTTTTGAGCTCATCAAAGAAAAACGTACAAGCTAACAAGAAGTGTATTGTCAAAGAAACCCAAATGGTTACAATTTAAAGGCTGCTCTAATTGATGAATTTAAACTATGCGACAAAGAAGCTTCAGAATGTGGCAGGTGTGTGTCATGTATAGTTTTACTGTCTAAGTAAAGCAAACATATGAAGAGATTAAAAAAATAGATTAAGTGTTTTATAAGCTACTGCTAGCCTACACTAGCCAGCTGAAGGCTTTAAATAATTTAATCCCTTCAGCAACTGCCAGTCCCAACTGCAATACTGAAACAAGGTCTGAATTCAGTTTGAAACCCAACAGGTGCAGTCTAATACTGCTTCCTTAATTCAGCTACTGATCTATGTTTATGCTTGTAACGGACAGCATATTCTTAAATTCACCATGGCATTAATTAAATTAGTCTAAGTGCCTCTTGTTTTAACCCATCTTCTACTATCAAATTTACCTCAGACAGTACTCTTTCCCCTCCCCTCTAGAAATGCTCCCCATGCCAGATGGAAGAGAAAGAGTTTTCAAAAAGCTTTTAAAATAGATTTTTCTTTATATAAAAATACAAAATAAACCAGGGAAACTGAACAATATAAAACATGCAATACTAGTTTAATTACCTTGAATTTTAATATTTGGAAGTGGAAGGAGGTATATAAAATTCGTGACAAGCAAAGTCTCTAATCACCACTTGTACTCCGTCTTTTCTTTGGATAATCCAGGCAATTTAAGTTGCACATGATACAAAGAAGCTATTTCTCTTTTTTATATGCTGATTATTTTTACCAACATTTGCTAGTAGCACAAAGTAATGCATATTGCCAAAGTAACAATTCACCAGAAAAGAAGTCAAAAAGCAGCACTACTATAAAGTTCCCACCTACAGTAACAGGCATGGGGTTTCTCTTCCCTTCTTTTTCAAGTTAGGCATAGTTTAACAAAGCACAGGGAAATGCTGCTTCATATCCTGCTTCCCACAGAAATTTAAAGGCTAACCTATATTTTTCTCCAATCACAGGGCAAAAGAAAAGGAAACTTCTCACCACCTTGCTGCTTTCACTCTGCCAACAAAGCTGGAAGATCAGACAATTCAAGGCATGACTTCCTTTCCCTTTCTTGCAGCCTGAGGCATGCTCATACTTGGGATGGATGCAGTTTCCTCTCTCCAGCAATTAAGCATGATGTTTGGCACATGCAAGAGAGAGGATAGAATTACCTTTTAAAGCAACCTTAATTCTAAATTTTTGCACCCTCAAGTAGCAAGGCAATGGAGTGACGAAGCCAGCACAGAAATCTGATCATAATTCAATGCCACTCCATCATTCAGCCTCCAATACGCCGTGCAACTGACGTGCAAGCTTATGAAAATGAATAAATGTACACTACACCAAAATACTTTCTTAAATTCCAAGCTGCTCAAGATATTAATACTTAGCTTAAAAATGCAAAGACGGTCATTCTATGAAAAAAAAAAAACAAACAATTTGTGACTACAACAGGAAGTGAACTCTGGTGCACAAGTACAGACTTGAATTCCAAATAATTCTGTCAGTATCTGTATGAGCAATACTCTTAAGTATATTAAAAGCATCTCCGAAATCAGATAGAACACTTATTTCCACAGTTCTGTATATACAGGATGCAACCTTTAATTATTAAACAACTATTTTTTTGATGATGTGAAGTAATACAGGCATCATCTCTTCTCTCTTACAAAAGTGTATTGAATTGTACATTTTTCTTTCATAATTCATCTTAATGCTGATGTAATACAGTTTTAGTAACATTTACAGTGCGTTCTCTGATCACACTTGCACCTCAAAGCATTAAATAAATAAAATTTTGGAGCACAGAGCAACCCAAAGCAAATTCAGAGCTAGTGATACGGTTCTACTACTTAGTTTATACAAACCCGAAGTTCAAACTTCAGGTTCAAAACCGTCTATGCCAGGAGTATGACTTCTGAAGGAAGGAAAAGTTGTGAAGGGAGGAAATTTATAAAAGACATTGTAGGAATGCAGAGACAGTGATAATATCTGTGTTCTATTTACAAAGTCCAGTTTTAATCCAGAATCCCTATAACTTACAGTATTTAGGGTATATAATTTTATTCCTGTAAAAATGTATTTACAGGAACAATTTTAGTCACGTGAACAATCACTGCCTGAGAATTCCCAGTGTAATCTTCTGGAATTAAGAGTTTGCAGAATCATACCTTCAGTAAGTATTTAATAAACATGACGCTAATTAATGCTCAAATTAAAAAAAAAACAAAACAACAACAAAAAAAACCAACCCTAAACTCATGGCATTGCAGTGGTAAAATACTGTACTGCTCTATGAAATCTGGGGAAAAGCTAGTGCTTTTATGAAGTCATCCACTCTGAGGGATACAGTTATTGGAGAAGGTTGTGTGAATGCTATAGACCTAGAAACTAAAGCAGGTAGCCATCCATCCAAAAGATATCCAAATAATAACAAATGGTGGGTTAGTTTAAATTCGAGTGTGTTTTTAAAGCTCACTTCTTTGTTCCCTTTTCTGAAACAGTTGCACAACAGCACTCCCACCCCCACCTCACCCCCACTAAACTCAACTTATAACGTATTTTTTAAGAACAGCAAGATTTAGGAAAACAAAACAAGGCAAAAAACAGCTGTTGTGAAACTTAGCAGAGATTCCTAAGACCTGCCATTTCTGATGAGAAAGCACTGAAGCCTTCCCCTTCTGTTTTGTAGAAATTTACATGGAAGAGAGAGTCATCTGGGTCCTCTTGTCCATCCCCATTCTGGCAACATTTGTCCCCTGGTTTACACATATAGCAGGAGAAATTAATACACCTTTTCTTGCCTACATGTTGCGTGAAGGATACATGATGCTCCTTGTAGCTCTTATACCAGCCTGGCCTCCCATCAAAAGCAG